CTGCTTTTGAACTCTGGGATCGTATGTCCTTTTATAAATTGAAGTGAATATTTGCTTGTTTTGGGGAGAATGGAACATAAAGTTATTTTTCCTCTAGATGAGTATAAGCAATTATGTGATGGCCATATATGTAAGTAGATCATTTAGATTCAATCATTGTAGAGACAGAAATTATACTGCATAATGTCACATTCTTCTCTTTATATATTGTGATTGCATATTTTAAAATGAGAGAATGTGTAGGTGTTGTTCATATTACCTCTCAGCTTAATACATATATATATAATACACAAAATAATTCATCATGACATTGTAAATTTCTGAATATCTATGAATTCCTTTTTAGTGGACATTAATGCAAGTTGGAATTCTAGCCATAAATCAATTAGAGATGGTTTGGGTAAAATACTAGATCATAATTCTGTGTATATGGATGAGTGTATGTGTATGTGTGTGTATATATATTCATATATGTATGCATGCATACATACATACACACACATACATACATACATAGGTAGATGCACGGGTAAATGTATGTAGGTATGTATCATGTAAGTATGTATCATGTAATATGCTACATTTAGTAAATGCAAAACCTGTGAATTCTTAACATGTCTGTAACACAGGCAGTATTTCATTTAAAATGCTGGCAAGCATGCAGAATGACAATCGATGTTTCCAGTATTCAGTGAGCTAGGTACATCTCCCCCACAGTGGTGTACAGTTTCATCACACCACAATATTACTTATTTCTAGGTTAATTTGCTATAAGAATCAATTTATCATGGATTTTCAAATATTTTGTTTTTGGAATTTATAATAACAGTGTATTTAAAGTATTTAGATATTTCACTTAAATATTTTAAAAGAGAAACATAAATGTTTTAACTAACCATGTGCAAGCCTAGGAAATTTTTCATAGTGGTAAACAAGTGACAAAGTAACTTCCCCATTCTCATTTCAAAAATTTTAGTCAAAATTAAAGCTGTTTTTATTTGTAATTTTTCAACTTTATTGGGGTATAATTGAAACATATAATTGTATGACATTCAAAGTGTATGCAGTGACATATACATATATGATATGTATGATATATATGTATATATATCTGAGTATATAAAAACAAATTTGTGAAAGTATAACCCTATTGAATTATATCAGAAACATTTAAAATTGTGACAGATTACTTTGTTCCTAGTGGAGTAAAAAAAATGACTTAAACATCATAATCATGACAAATCGCAATTATTTCAAACAAGTATAGAAATACACAGTTCAAACTCAATATAGCTTCCTTTAAGAAATCTATCCTAAAAGAACTCTAATATTTGGGCACTGTTGTGGGAGGAAGAGTCTGTTAGTCTAATTTTGTAACAGTTAAAGCAAAGAAGAGGGTCATGTCCTAGGCATGGAAAAAGTATATGCTATCTTTATACACACACACAATCATACATAAAGATACCTAAACACACAAACTATTTGTTTTGAATACATGTCTTGAATTTAATGTGGTTTCTATCCAATTCTAAATTTATATTCAAACATGACATTAAATATTAAATATATTTTTGTCTTGATATGGAAGAGAATAATAGGCTTACTGATAAATACAATATCTGTAACAGGTTAAAGATTTTAGACTACCACATATAACGAATCATGGATAGAAGCCATCTTTTTGCAATTTATGAAACTAATTCATTGTCTGATGATTCATAAAAGGTCAGTTAATCTATATATTTACTGTAACATAGGTAGACAATAATGGTCTTGAAACTATAAATGGAGATATTTAATTTCATTCTAAGAAATGTTTGAAATTTTGGAAATATTTTTTGATAAAATGATAGCTCTATAACATTTTAGCCATTGTCACACTTCAAAATACTAAAAGGTTGTATGACCACTGAGCACTTGATAGTTTTTTAGTTAATTGATCAAGCACCTAAGAATGTACTTTTGAGGAAATAGAGCAGCATCCGTTCTTTGTACTTGAACATGACATTAGTTATTCAAATGGTCAAAACTTGTTTTGTGTGTTCCTCTTTCTCTTTCCGTAGGGTTGGAATTACTGTAAACTCTGGATTGACACTAAAACTCCCTAGGGTTGAGTGACTTGGGCATGTGGACTAAAGAGAGTTTTTAATCAAATGGAGGACTATGACTCTTGTCATGATGAAACTGGCACAGACTTTAAGACAGCCTGATTAGATTAATCAGCTTGTTCCATAGTTTGCAGAGTTACTTCTGCGCTATAATGTGGTGTTGTCAGGAGTTCCTGAAAATAATTATTTGCCAAATCCTGCAAGTCTTTTAGCTTTTTCTCTTTCATAGATTACCTACTGATAAACTCTCTAGGGTTGAGTGTCCAGTCAAGCAATGTTATGACCAATATTTCTAAACTTTGTGTGCATGTAAATCATGCCGAAACCTTGTTAATAATAAGAAATCTGATTCTGCATAGGCTTGTGATTCTGAAGTTCTACAAGTTTCAGGTGATAGTGCTACTGGTCTGAGTAGCATGTACTGCTTAGCAAACCTCTATATAATTTCAATCTACCAATCCTGAAATTTTCTGGTAGTTTTTAACAAAAACACAATTTGCTTCTAGGCAGTGATTACAACTGGGTAGTTTCTTTAATATAACAATCTTAGAGTTTTTTTTTTTTTAGTTCAGTAAGGCTTTAGAATTTATTAAATACAATAAATACAACTTTCTTATTTTACAGTTGAGGAATTTGAATTTGAGTTAGGGATATTTGGTATATGCTCAAGGAAAGACAGCTAGCAATAGGATGTGCAGGAGCACTCAGGTGTCCTGCTTACTTTTGCAAAACTAAAACACTAACTTCTTTGGCACTTGTATTTATTATATTCCCCCTGACACAAAACCTTAAGCACAAGTCAGTAATGATTAGAATTACACCGTTCTAGTGCTCATAATAGTTTACATGATATGCTGTACCCTTAACACTTCACTGACTTTCCTAACAGCCAAAATTCACAGTAGGCAACTACCTCCTACAATAATATGAGTATCCACACATCTTTTTTCTAGAGTTCATTTTCAGTTTCATTGTGGACACTTTTCTTCTTAATTTTAAGAGACTGAGGAGCAAGGTGGACAGAGAAACAAATGGGTCATTAGTTAAAAGGCAGGGGTTGAATTTGCAAAAAGGTTGTGGCAAAGTAAGCAACAAATGGAAAAGAGTGAAGGGCATCAGTATTGATCTTGCTTCTCATCTTTCTCTCAGTCTTCTTGCTTGCAAGTTTCTATTGTGTAATCTCTCAAACAAAGCAGACTTTATTTATGGTGTACTGATTTAATACTGCTGAACTAGTCCATCATCTGCTAATTTGGTCCAATTAGAAACTTATCATAGAGAAAAGTCCAGGAATTAAGCTTATTTGGAAACACAACTTCTGTTTAATTTATGCCCTGATCATTTATATATTTTCTTCTAAAAGATACTGTTCAGGAGGCTGCTTTATAGAGGTTGTTCTTTCAAAATAACAGGGTTCCTTTCTGCTATCACCTCTGGTTGGAGCCCTGAAGAAAGTAAAGCTATGTTTCTGTCCCCTCCTTCCCAGTCCCCTAAAGCTATTGTTAAAACATTTGTGGAAGATTATCAATGCTTATCTAATATCATGTATGAGGAAAAAATCCCACCAAAAATTCAGAGCCACCCTTTATAAATAAATCATTTATATTTTGCGTTTTCACTTAAGCCGTAAAACCATAAAAGTTAAGTACTATGTTACTTTTGTTTAACATTTTAGGAGGCATCAGATTTAATTCAAGTAAAATTAGCAAGCATGAAGAAATAAGTGACAGCTAAAGAATTTGAACTAGAATCTGCCTTATTTCAGAGTCAACTCATACTTTTTTATTCCCTTGGTCTAATGAGATATATTTCTAGGCGAAGCCAACATTCTGAAGAACAATAACAAAATATAATCTTTCTCCCCCACCCCCAATTTTTGTTCTCTACCACACAAGTTCTTGCAGGCAGGTAAGTGTTTCACTTCGCTCCCTATATTTAGCCTCTCCCACGGCCTTTGCAATCTTTCCCTTTGCTGCTGGGAGCGCCAGAAAATGCTACTACAGCTGGTGAGTGGGCAGGTGCAGCGACCATCTGTTCTAGAAGTCCAAATACGCGCGAGAACTTCGCACCCAGGACCTGGCCCTGGCACCACAGATTCCAGAACCTGCTGAGGACAGGGCTAACCCCGCCCTCTCGCGGTGATGATTGGCTGAACTCTACTCAAGTGCGAGGCACTGATTAATGAAAGCGGTTGTCTCTTCTGCAAGTTGGGGTGAGACTTCTCTAAGGAGGTGAAACCCTTCCCGGGTGTGTGAATAGGGTCCTCAGTTCTTCCTGCCCGAAGGGTCCTTGAGAAGCCTGTTTGTTTTTCCCGGCGCTTGTCTCCACCCATCCTTTTCTGTCATTGGTTGGGCGTGGTGGGCGGTTGTTTTTTTATTGGTCGGGGGGCGGTGTCTGTCCCTGGCCAGGGTGAGGGCGGGGCCTCCGCCGCGCTGAGCTTGCCCTTGTGTCTGGTGCTCTGTAGAGCTGCCGCCGCTGCCGCTGCCGCCGCCGCCGCTGCCACTGCTACTGCTGCTGTTGCTGCAGCCCGAGCATCCGGGAGCCGCCGCCGCCGCCGCCGCTACCACCGCCACTAGCGCTACTGCTTCTACCGCTGCCATCTCCCTTGTTAGGACCCCAAGACACACTGAGCGCGAGCGGCGGCTGCTGCTTGGCTTGCTCCTCTTTCCCCCAACCCCTACCCTCCGTGACCTACCCACTCCTTGCAGCCCTACTCCGTACCTTCCACGACACCCGGCATCCCTGCACCACCTGCTCAGGCAGCCCGGCGGGTTCTGGGACTTGCTCTGCGAGCCGAAAGGAAGGCAAACCTCGAACCTGTGTCTGGCAGACGGACTGTCGCGGCTGTAGCACCAGCCGGAGAAGAAACTATTTCGCCCACAGAAACCCCATTCTGCGGGTGCTCGATCGTTGTCGCTTCTGCTGCTGCTGATCCGCGTCCACGAGTTCGAACACCGCAGCGGTGGGGACCCGGGGTCCGGCGGGCGCCACGAGGACACCGGCGGAGCCCTGCATTCTGGTGCTCCGCTAACCAGCATCTCCTTGCCCACTCGTTCTTTCCCCAGCCCTTTGGAGAAGGGACCATGATTTGGAAACGCAGCGCGGTTCTCCGCTTCTACAGTGTCTGCGGGCTCCTGCTACAAGGTAATCCCCGCCCCGCCGCGGGGAACATCAACTTCACGCCCATTCCCCATCATCCCCACTCCACCCCATATTTCCACTCTCCCTCTTCCAGGCCCCCAGTCCCCGACGATTTCCTCCCCCACCTCTACTCCCCGGTGCGGCAGGGGGCAGTGGCAGTTTGCTCCCTCGAATTTCTACAGCCTGTTCAACCCTGCTCTCCCAGCAGTCAGCCCCTTACACGGCACCTTTCGCCTTTTCATTCACCTGAGCTTCCTACATCTTTCACTCTCCATCCCCGCCAGCCCCCCACCTCCCACGCCTTTTGGCTGGCAACTTGTGCCTTCTTTGAACATTCAGTGAATGTTCAACCCCCACCAGCCACCTCCCACATCACGCTCCCGACCGACCCTCTCCATTTCTTGTCATCTCTTTAACCTCCCCCCTTTCTGGTGTGTTCCTCTTCCCCCTTCTCCCCATCATCATCATACCCTTGTGTCTTTAAAAAGTGTGTGAGAGCCTGGGAGCGAGCTACCGAGACGGCGAGAACAGCAGCAGCGGCAGCACCGTGTGCATTGCAATAACATCCCCGGGGGGGAAATGTGTTGTGAGACGTGTCATTCACTCAGGAAGAGAGAAGAGACTGTGTCTGGGATTAAAGAAAAGAAAAGAAAGGAAAATGAATGAATGAATGAATGAATTGAATGAATGAGCCGAGAAATAAAAAGGGAGGGTAAGAGAAGGGAAACCAGTTACAAGACCCAAACCCAGTTTATCAACAAGCCGACTTTTTTTTTTTTTAATATTATTTAGTCTGTGTATTCTTTTTCTTTTTTAGGCAAAGAAACATGCACCCTAGCAATTACTTTACTGCTAAAGGATTTTTGCTCATGTTCCCTACCCCTTCATCTCTTTAGCTTCTTTCAGTAATTAATCTTATCCTTTCACGTGAAATATAAGAACCCCAGTCACCGCACTGGAGAGAAACCTTACCAAAAATCACTGTTATTATGCAAATCACTGGTTTGGTTGTAGAGTGGCTAGGAAACTGGGATATACTTTTTCCCAGACCTCCTTTTTAGAAGATGATGCTGATTGTGAAATAAATAGCAATATATATGGAGTAGGAGTGCTTGGGGAGAGATCACTTTGGATGGTGGTGTAGGTGAAGGCAGCATGGTAGGGCTGGATGAGCAGGGGTTGTCAAGGGAAGATTGTTGCTTTGAAGAGTGCAGTGTAGGGATGTGGCTTGAGTGAAAGACTCAGGAAGGGTGGATGTGAAATGATGGTCGATATGATTTTTTTATTAAGCTTTGGTTACTCTTGATATCTTGATTAATCTTAGTCCACCTCTCCCCATTTGCCTGCATTTGTGTATTTGTAGGAAAGATAAGTTGATCACATTTATTTGTCCCTGAGTTAAAGGAATCTGAAAGTAAGACACACACAGACTTACAGGCGTAAAAACCCAATCGGCCTTTGGAGGATTTAAATGAGGTCAATGAACCATCTTTCAGCAAGTTCTTGGAATGCATCCTCTCTCTCACGCTCCTCAGGGATGTGTGCGGGGACCCGACCGCTTTTGTTTATGCATATTTATAAATGTGAAGGAAAAGGTAGTAGACAGAATATTCTGAGTTAGCTGACCTTGCAAAGATAATCTTATAATATTTTGTAGTGATCGCGTGTAATTTATTTTGGATGTAAATTTCAGGCATGCCATATTTCAGAACCCCTAAGAAGGCAGCCAGCTTATTCTTCCTGCTTAGCTGCTTCGTCCAGTTTCCCACTGCTTACACCCTCTCCCGCACCCAAGTAACCCGGGTGGCTGACACATTACTTGGGTTTTTTATCCATGCCGAAACATCCTCCCAAGGACCCCACTTCACCTCTCAGTAACTTGCATTTCTCAGCTGTGCTCTGTGTGTGTGTGTGTGTGCGCGCGCGCGCGCGCGCGCGTGTGTGCACGCGCGCGAGGGCGCGTGCTCGCACGCCACACCGGGTAGAGGAAGTGTGATGTGGGGAAATCAGTTAATTTGGTGATTGCGATGAAATTCGACACCGCTGGATGTGTTTTCCCTGCCAATCTGTGTCTGCTGGCCTCCGCACGTCATTGTACACACTGCTGGGCTGGTGCGAGGTTATTTATTAAAGAGCATGTGGGCAATGGACTGCACTTGGGGGTCGCCTCTGCTCTGTCTTCAACATTTCCCGGTGAATTGTGTATTCAGTGCACTGCAAAATAACTGTCTACTGGTGCCTCTCTCTCAGTCTGGGGGAGGATTTTTTTTTTCTTTCTTTACCCGGAGAGATTCCATCAGCTGCATTCTGTTGTATTAAAGACATGGGCTTCTTTTAATAAGTGTGTAAACCAATGTTTAAGACAGTGCTACTATTCACAGCAGGTTGGGGGGTTGGAGATGATAGGGATGTGTGTATGACAGAGAAAATGCACCACTGCAACCAGCAGCAGCACCAGCATCAGTTTCAAATAAATAAATAAATATAAATACATAAATAAATGTCCTATAAAACAACCAGGGAGCGAGCACCACCCAGTAATGTATGTGTACTTATGATCATCTTCGATCAGGCATTATTAATTCACACACACAGAGAACAGGGTTAAAAAAAAAAAAGTAGAAGGGGGAGGGGGCACAAAGCACCATTGGATTGTCTTCTCATGTTTATGGTTGCCTCACATTAATCAAACACGGCTCCATGGACATATCACACTTTGTTGATATTGTCAGTTTCTGCTCAAACAAATTGTTCATGCCTTCCTTTTCTTAGTCTTGGCTGAAAACATTGCTTTAGGGTTCAGGCTTATGTTTTTCCCAACCTACTGTTTTATTAGAACTTGGTTGGATAATAAAATAAAAGCTTTATTTCCTGAACGCAGATTAAATACTTAGTAGATCTTCCTTTCTATGTGCAGGTAATGGAAGGTGGCTCTGGGAACTATTGAGCAACTGATTTTAGCTGAGGAATTTGCTTTGCATGCTAGTAGTTATGACTAGGCAAATAATATAGGCAATCAACAGCTTCTTTTTACCTTTATCAGCATTCTAGTGATATTCTTAAACTTAAGTAATACTAATCAATTTACCTATCCCTGGCATTAAGTTCCCTTTCTTGTAGTATGCATTTTTTTTTAAGACAGAATGCTTATTTAAACATATTTTCTGTGTTTTCTTTTTTCTTTCTGGGAAGTGAAATATATCTTTCAGCTTTTTAAATTTATAGAGTGATAAGCTAGCAGTGAAAATCAAGTCAAGAATAAAATGAGTCGGGGAGAAAATTCTTAAAATGTTATATTCCACAACATCTACCAGTTGTCCCCAATCAGTCTTTAGGAACTGAATAATTAGATTAATAAGTAGACATGTTTGTGACTAAGGTATAATTTGGAATATTGAGTACTTAAATAACAAAATTTGATTCATTATTAAGCTATGCACATCATTTATTTATCTGTGATAAGGACAGAAGACACTAAGTGGCTTTTTAGCGTCACTTTTTTTTTTTTTTAATTGAGGTGCCATTGGTTTACATCTTTGTTAGTGTTTGGAGGTCTAAGATTTCCCCCTCTCAGGTGTGCTTACTTTAGTAGTCTAATCAAAGCACCCATGGTCCTCCATGACCGTACATTTTGCAGAGGATATATTAGAGAAAAGTAATCCTCATATACCTTACACCTCTCTTGACTGCAAAGTAGATCCAGCTTAACTGTTAGTCCTGTATCTCTTTCCTTGCCTGAAGGGGCACTGCAAAGATTGAGACTGTCTTGCTTATTAACACAGGAAAGAGTTCTAGAAATGGCTAAAAAGAAAAGAGGAAAAAACATAACTAGAGAATAGATACACATAAAGAGAGCTGGATTTTGTGGAAAACTTTATTTTCTTTTTGGAGTTAGTCTTACATGAAAAGATACCTTAACGCAAATACTGGCGCTTTAGTATTCTGGTTTGGTGTTATATATTATGGTAAATCATTTCTTATATTTAGAAAGAAAGATGCTCAGTTTAAAGATCTGAACTTAATACTTTGTTCAGTATGTGTCTTGAACCTTCCATGTTTGGATAATACTAAATACACTTAATAAAATACCAATAATGATAGTTTTTAAATGCATGTTTCATCTATTCTTTACCACTGCATGTACTAACCTTCATTTTGCTACATTCATTTTTATGCTAAATACAGCTCTGAGATACTGCTCGTTCTTCCCTTTTTTGATTAACATCTGGAACTTTTAAAATTAGAATCTACACAGGTGTCAAAAACTGTGACCTAGTGAGCAGGCATTGGACTTTTAAAATTTAAGCAAAACTGCCAGCAAATATGAATTCCTGAGCTAATTTTGCATCATGATAAGGACGTTTACTTTGTTGTCCTTCCCCCATTTCTATAACTACTAGAACTCTGGGAACTAAAATGACAATGGTAAACACTGAATGAGAAGTTTACTCCATTGGAAGATCAAATACTTGAAAATGATCTCTTCTTTTCAATATTGAGGTATTATAATTTCTCTTAAAGATAAGAATTACTTAAATCTCTTAAAGCACAGGTAGAAATGCAAAGACACATTCTAAGAATACATTTTAAAGTATTCTGCAATCAACATTAAAATATATTATTATTATTTTTTTGTTTATAAGTAAGGCATATAGATATTACCAGATGAGTGAAACTGGATTTATTTATTATGAAGATCTTAGGGGGTACACATAAAAATAGAACTATTATATTGGTATTTCATTTGATTATGCTGACATGTGTTCTATGAGATTTATTGAAAAAAAGAATACTCTTTTTATTAGGCTTCATTAAGCCTCTTTGGCAAAGTCGTCCATTGTGTAGCAGCTGGCTGAGTATATTGAGGAGGCGGAACCAAGGAACCAGACTCACAAGTTTAAATCTAGCCCTTTGTTGTATTGGCAGATATTCATTTATTTACATTCCTAAAAGACCTCTAAGTGACCAATGACTACCAGACAAGTTTCCTGAAGGCAAACCTG